TCTTTCCCTTACTCCTCCTTCCTCTCTTTCCCTCCCACTCACTCCTCCCGCTCTACCCCCCACCCACTCCTCCCTGTCTTTCCCCTCACTCACTCTCCCTCTTTCCCTTACTCACTGCTCTCCCTCCCCCTCACTCCCTCCTCCCTCTCTTTCCCCTCACTCCCTCCTCCTCTCTTTCCCCTCACTCCCTCCTCCCCCTCTCTTTCCCCCCACTCCTCCTCCCTCTTCTTTCCCCTCACTCCCTCCTCCCTCTCTTTCCCCCCACTCACTCCTCCTCCCTCTCCAAACACAACACCTGGTCGGGCCTACATATTTCCTCTTCCTCCCCACATACCACGCCTGAACCCCCAGTCCTCTTCCCCCTTCTCCTCACATACCACACGGAGCCTGCCTGCCAAACCTTCCCCATCCTTCACCGTAACTCCACGCACGAAATAGGCCTAAGAATCCCATGACGTTACAAATGATAGAAACTCATCATCAACTCCACTCAACCCGCAATACGTGAGTGAATACACAAACCCGCAGATCACACTCGGAGGTCCTACTCCTCCTTCCCCGGCCGTGGGATGCGCGCCTTCAGCCCCCCAAAAGCCCCTGTTCTCACACAAGCTGGCGTCGGCGATTAGCACCCCCTCCGAAACCCCACACACTATACTTGGTACGCCAGAGTCCCTCCTCTCTACCCCCTCCCCTTTCCCCCCCACCCCCAGCAGGGAGCGCACCAACCACCCTGCCAAACACAAACATACAAAATGTGCCGATGTGTACACGAGCCGCCAAACATCAACATACACGATGAGTAAAGTGTAATCGCGACCAAGTGACATAAGCGCGTCTGGAGTCAATACTTGTTTTATGGTGGGAAGGACTGACCTTCGGGGGTGGGGTGTGTGGTGTCCTTTAACGGAGGAAAACGCCATCAACTGTATAAATCTGAGACATGTATATATGTACATCCATAAGCACGCAAGCAACGTATACGCGAACACGTCTCGCCGTCCTCTCTTTCTCTCTTTTCTGTTCTCCCTTTCTCTCTCTTCTCCTCCTCCATTCTCCTTTCCTCTAATCTATTCTCCTTTCCTCTCCTCTATTCCATTTTCTTCTCTTCTCTTCTCCTTTCTCATCCTCTCTTTTCCCTTCCCTCCCCTCTCCCCATTCCTCTCCTCTCCCTTCCCCTCATCTCCTCTGCTCTCCTCTCTTCTCACCCTGTTACCAAGCCACCCACACCCACGCTCAGCCCCCAACAAGAGAATCTACCGCGTGGCCATACCTGTGCTCCGCGAGGTATGTCACTCATCACCAACACTCACCTTTCCGCCACGAACACGTCCCCTCGACCACCGTCCCCCGTTTATCTCCCGGGCGAGGAGAGAGCATCATCCGTAATATCTGAGGCGAATAATTAATGGCGGCTACTGGTCCACTCGCAGTGCTCTTCGCCAGCCACTCATTAAACGAAGACCCAGACACATGGCATCAGCCGAGTGTTAAGCCTTGCGAGTGTAAATATTTGGTGCGTGCAAGATATTGGGCGCCATTTTTAAAAATTCTGAATAAGTAAACACATCATGTTAGCGTGTGTGTATCTAAACGAGAGGGAAAAATCCCTACTGTCTGGATGCAACAGTAGGTCACGTGCTATTTTTGGTCGTGTATTTGCATAAGACATCATTACCTATACAGCAACAACACTAGCCATGATTCACACTTGG